TTTTAGACATTTTGTTAGTTTCTCGCGTTCACTGAGGATTCTCATTAGGTAGAATTTTTCGATATTATCTCGCGCACTCATAGAATTATTTTTAGTTCGATTGTTTCATTATTATCTCATGCACGTTGAGGATTTTCTTCAGTCGGATTGTTGCGTTTGTATCTCTCGCACTCCTGGAATTCTTTCCTATGCGAACATTTCGTTAGTGAGGATTGCAGTCTTCTTAGTCTCTGTCGTTCGATTGTTGCGTCAGTATCTAGCACACTCCTAGAATTCTCTATTATTCGATTGTTTTTTTGGTATCTCGCACACTTTTCATAGTCTATTTTGTTTGGTTGTTTCGTTAGTACCTCGCGTATTCTTAGAATTCTGTGTTGTCTGGATGTCTCGTTAGTATTTCACGCACACTGAGGATTGTCTTTAGTAGGATTATTTCGTTAATATCTTTTGAAGTCTGAGAGTACTCTGTAGTCCGAATGTGTCATTAGTATCTCGAGCACTCTAAGGATTCTATTTAGTTTGAATGTTCCGTTAGCATCTTGCTCACGCTTAGGATTTTCTTCAGCCGGATTGTTTCGTAAAGATCTCACACAATCTTAGAATTCTCTTTACTCGGATTGACTCGTTAGTTTCTGGTGTGCATTGAGAATTTTCTTTGGGGTAAATGTTTCGTTGGTATCTTGAGGATTTTCTTTAGTCGGGTTGTCTCGTGATTCACGCGTAAAGTTCTTAGAGTTTTCTCTAGTGTGCACATTTTGTGCTCTGCAAATAAGTTTGGATCATGTGAGCGCGAATTACTATTTTTACAATTTAAACGATGGGATGGCTGTAACTCTTCATGAAACTTAACCAAGCAGAAATTAGCGTATGGCAAGTTATCCCGTTTCGTTTTTCAACGATTTTCACTCCACCGACCTTTCAAAGGCGAAAAACTCATATGAATTGCAAATAATTTTTGAAATTAATATTCATGTTTTCGTTTAGTCTTGCACGTGGAAAGAGCTTACGAACTTCAGCAAATTTTGTTGTCTTTTTCCGATACTTTGGGGCACGAAAATACAGCATTTCAACGCATTAAATCAACTAGATATCGTCCATTCATTCAAGGCCGACGTATGTTTCTTAGAGGTCGTTAAACCGGGTGGTTTCACTTCAAAGTCGAGGATCAATGGATGTTGTTTTGTCACGACTTTTCTCAAGGTAAGTGATGTCCTTCTAAACTCTGTTTTTTAGAGAAAACAGTGTTTATGTTCTTTGTATAATGCAAAATCAAATTTCGAAGTGAAAGATGTAGAAACGAGTGGCTTTTAACAAACAGTGCAGTGTAAGACAAATCCTAGAGGCGGCCGCCGCCATGACAGCTCTAAGTGAACCAAGAGACTGCCGCCATACACTGGCGGCAGTGTGAAATTTTTCTTTTCATTTACTTTTTTATCTCTTTTTTTACCTGTTCTCATTTTTCTTTCATACTATATATGCAATTCTTTATAATTATGGTATTTTAATAAAGTTTGTTTTAATCGTACTAGATTTTTCTCAACTTCCATCTAAAAGAAACAGGGTGATTATCAAAACTTTTTCACGTAGAATTCTTTTGCTGGATACAAGATATTTTTTCCATCTTTCAAGCAGAGGCCACTGATAATGGGAATTTCTGTTATCTCGAATTTATTTTAACCCTGAATGTATTGAGCTCATGGACTCCAAATCGAGAGGTCCTGGTTCTGCACTCCTAGACATAGTTAATTAGGACGCTTCTACAGAGCAACATCAGTGAAGTATTCTCGCCTCTCTCCCCTTATAATGTTGCTAATTGTCTATGTGCCCATGCCATCTTGCAGACCAACATAGAGGGGGGCGGAGGGGGAGGGGCTAGGGGGGTACTGAGTGTACCAGCAAACGTGTCTGGAGGTGTAGCTCTGACTGAGTCATTGTTTTATTCTTGAACAAGACAATTTGCTATGACAGTGACTCTGTTTTATGGCTTGTTTAATGATCCTTTATTTTCCCAGTATTCTTTCTTTATATTGTTCAGGTTACCAAACATAGGGGATTAAACTAAGGTCTTCTCTCTTTGTTTTCTTTCTAGGACAGCATCAAGCGTAAACAGAAAATAAAATCTGATGTCGAGAGATGTGCGAAGGAAAGAGTAAAGGAGAGCATCTGATAAGGTTAGTTATTCAGTTTTGCATTTACTTAAGCTTGTAAATTTGGTCACGCTAGATTGCTTTATTTGGACTCAGCGTATGCTTTACATTTCAAATTGGCCAAAGTCAATGCACAAAGTCAAAATTGTTAATGTACAATGTCGTGGCTCTCACTTAGTTTTGTTTATCCGAATCTTTATTATTCGCAGTGTAAAGTACTTACCTTGAGATTGGTATGCATGTACTCACAATATATTTGTTTTATTTTTCTGTATAGGAGAATATCAAGCATAGAATGAGAACTTCTCGAGATAGATAAATTCAGGGGAGGAAAGGAAAACTGGAAAAAATCTCTAACAAGGTTGGTAACTTAAATCTTATTAATCAAATAAAGCTTGCAATTCGAAAAAAGAGGAAAATGGGACGGAAAAAATTCATTTGTAATCTTCAATCTTTGATTTCCTCTATCTCTGTGTGATTATAGTGATTTGCAGTAGTTAACTGCACTTTAACTGTGATAGAACAACGGAACAGATAAGCCAGTCGTGCATCAATTAGATTACATGTTGAAAGATCGATAGTCCAAATAATTTAAAAATAAAAATAAAAATTAAGTTCATTAAAATTGTCATTAAAGAGAGATTCTAATTTAATTTTGTATGACGTAATATTGATCTTTGTCTTTCGCATTTTAAAGTAATTAACTAAATATAGGTGTCGACGTATTTACAATAAATATCCTATTATTTTCTTTCTCTCCAGGACAGCATCAAGCATAGGACCGAAGTGCATCTAGAAATCAAGAGATTCAAGGGAAGAAAGGATAACAGAATAACTCCGACATGGTTAGTTCTCTTTGTTTTTTTTTCTGTAACAAATTATCTATCGGGGCTTCAGTGTAAGTCTGGCCCGCGTATAATGCTTAAACCTGGATTTACGGATGTCTGTCATTCACACCTAAGCATAGTAAAAAAATGAATGAACCTAGAAACAAGAAAATTTACGGAACTGTTTAACTGTTCGTTTATAAATACACCTAGTTGGTAAAACGCTGGTGTCAGAGAAATACTCAGTCATGATCGTGCATTTCAGTAACATCCGTGTACAGTTCGTTTTTAAATCTCCTTCAGGTTTTTAATGCCTTGTCAATCAAGATTTCTTTGCAAAATTGTAACTTTGCAACTCAATTCAATTAGCGTCTCAGAGTCTTAATCGCAAAATTATAAGCTCTTTAGGCCAAGAAAGAAAAATTTAATATGCTCTCTCGAACTTTTCCATTATTTTTTGAGATCTCTGATAAGTTCAATGATCTGGTAATTTTTGAAAAAGTGGATCTTTTCTACTTAATCAACGAAAGCTTTGAAGCCCATTAGTCAAGTTTGTATAAGAAATCAGCTTTTTAGGTTGGCCTACAACAATTTTGTTGACCTTCAAATGTTGATGTTTCCTAAAGTTTTTTTCTAGGATCCTTTTAGAGAGGTCTGTAAATTCAATTTTAAAAATCGATGTTGAACTTGGAGCCTAATTCTCAAATGTCGTCGCTCTCGTGGCTAAAAGACTTTTTAAGACTTATTGTTTGATTTTTTTCTGGAATTTTTTACAATGTCTGATGAGTTCAATTCTTTGGTAATTTTGATAAATCAGCGCTTTTTACCTAATTAATGAAAACTTTTAATACCTAAAAGTCGAGTTTGTATAAGCTATCAAATACTGAGGCTTGTATACACCAAATTCATTATGCTTCAAACGCTGAAATGTTTCAAAGTATTTTGTCCTAGTGTTCTGTTAGAGAACTCTGATCAATTCATTGCTCTGATAACTTTGAAATAAGGCAAATGTCGTGGCTCTTGAAGCAAAACATTATTCAGTAAGCTCCAAAGCTTGGTATTTCTTAAACCCTTTCTGGATTATTTTTTGTTGATATGTGATAAATCTCTTTCATGTTTTAATGCTTTGATTACTTTGAATTAAGATTTTGGTCAAAATTTAATTAACATCTTAGAGCCTTATCCTCGTATGTCCAAGCTCCCAAGGCTAAGGAAAAAAATCAAAAATATGCTCTCTGTCGAACTTTTTCAAAATTTCTTGAGATCTCTAATAAGCAAAGAAAAAAAAGCAGATCTTTTCTACTTAATCAATGAAAGCATTGAACGTCATAAGACAAGTTTTTCAGAATTTTTTTGAGATCTCTAAGAAGTTTAACGATATGGTAATTTTTGAAAAAGCAGACCTTTTTTGTACTTATAATCAATGAAAGCATTGAAGTCCAAAAGTCAAGTATGTATAAGCAATTAGCTTTTGAGGCTGGTCTACAAGCATTTTTTGAGCTTCAAATATTGATGTTTCTTAAAGTTTTTTTGTCAGGGATCCTTTTATTACTTTAAGAGAGCTCTGTACAATCAATGTTGAAAATCAATGTTGAACCAGGCTTTTAAATTAAAAAATTAAAACTTTTTTCACTTAATTCAATGAATACCTTGGAGCCTAATTCTCAAATGTCTTAGCTCTCACGACTGAAAAAAATTACTTATACTTTAAAACTCCTCTTTTGAATTTTTTTCTGTAATTTTTAAAAATTTCTGACGTGTCTAATGCTCTAGTGTTTTTGATAAATCAGAGGTTTTTGGTAATTAAGTCGATGAAAGCTTTGATACCTAAAAGTCAAGTTTGTTTAAGCTATCAGCTCTCAAGACCTGTGGAAACCAAAGTCAAAATGCTTCAAACGTTTCAATGTCTTAAAGTACTTTGTTTTTGTGTTATGTTAGAGAGCACTGATCAATCCAATACTCTGGTAACTTTGAAATAGTGCAAATATCTTGGCTCTTGAGGCTAAACAATATTCAGTTAGCTCCAAAGCTTGCTATTTCTTAAACACCTTCTGGATTACTCAATAAATGAGAGCTTTCGAGCCTAAAGATGAAATTTGTTTGCTGTAAGCTCTTGAAGCCAGACTAAACCAAATTCAGTTTATTTCAAATTTTGTTATTTCTCAAGGTTTCATTTCTCTTCAGTGGATCCTTTTCTAGAGCACTGAAAAAATTAATGCTATGATAACTTTGCAAAATATTTTTTCGTTTAAAAAATTAGGAATTTTCACTTAATTCAATAATTACCTTAGAGCTCTACTCTGGAATGTCTTTGCTCTAGGAGTTAATATGAATTAAAATCCCCCCACACACACACACACACAAAAACAATATTATACATTTATATTACTGCAGCCAATTTTTCCTGGAATTCTTTGTTTCTAGATTTCTCTCGGTTAAATGCTCCAATAATGTTGCAAAACTAGATATTTTTTACTTATTTCAATACCACGTTGAGCCAAGTTGTCAAATGTGTAAGCTCCTGATAGTTCTTGACCTTTTTTTACCCAAAAACCAATCTGTATATTCTCCATGCTCTGCTCTGTACATTTCATTTGTTACTACCAAGGAGAATTCGTTTAACAATCAAAGCTTTTTAGGTTGGGGATGATTTTCTTTATTTTCATGGCCTTTACATCAATTCTGGTTCAGCCATTCACTTCTAGGCGTTACAGGTAAAAACAGATTCAATATGCTCAAGACAGTAATGTTGTATTTCCCCAAATCTTTTCCTAGGATTTCTTTTACATCGCTAATAATTTTAATAATCTGATAATTGAGTACCACAGGTGTTGTCAAAATATATTAAACCGTTTAAGTATTCACACATTAGAGCCTTTTTCACAAATGTCTTTATTCTTTATACTTAAAACTAAATTCATTTTGTCCCAAAACTTGATAAGTGTAGTTCTTTTTTTTACAAACACAATATTTTATTTTAAAAAAATAACACCATTGAGGCTTAATGTCAAATATGTTTGCTCTTGAGACTAAAATCAAATTAAAGCTGGTCCCAAGGAAATATTTCAAAGCTCAAAATCGCATCATTTTCAATTTCATTCAAGATAAACCCCTTTATAAATGCTCCGATAATTTTGTACCGGAGTTGCTTGAATTGTTTTCTATAATTCTCTTTTTGGAAGTTAAATGGATATTTTTTCAAATTAGAAACTTGGAGCCAAACTGTCAAATGTCAGATGTCTTTCGGCTAAAACCAGACTCAGCCAGTCTATAAATTTGAAATTCCCACATCAAACATTTTTTTGATTTATCGGTCAAAACATTGCGTACCAACCGTTAAATATCAGAGCAGTTCTTCAAGTCTAAAACCATTTGTCGTATTCTACTCAAGATTAAATTGTTCATGAATACGCTGAATATTTTGTACCAGTTTTCTCATTAAAAGATTAGAACATTTTCTATTCAGTTTAGTATGAAACCTTGAAGCCTAATTGTCCAATATCTAAGCTCTTGATTGCTTTAACCGGATTCAGCATGCTACAACATTTCATGGTTTTGAATCTCTGATGAGTGTAATAGTCGGATAGTTGTGTGTTATAGTCGGATAATTGTATTGTATTGGAGCCTAACTATCAGAGTATTAGTTATTGAGGCTAAAACATAGTCCAATATGCCTGATATGCTACGGAAATGTTTTTTTTATCGGTACTTTTTATTGGTACCTGAGGCTAACTTGTCGAATGTCTTGGCCCTTGAGGTAAAAAAAAAACGCGCAATGTGTTCAACGCAATTGTATTTCTCAATTTTTTTTTTACGAGAATTCTTTTTAGCTGAGATTTACATTCAGTAACCTTTTATTTAATTTCTTGCTTAATTCAATGAAAAACAATTGGGCTTTAATTGCCAAGAGTTATAGCTTATGAACCTAAACAAGTTGAACGAGTATATGCTGCAAAGATAGATATTCTGAAATTGCTTTTAGATTTTCACATTTACTGATTCATGCTTTTTATTCTCCTGATTAATAAACAATCGTGAGGTTGAAACCAATTTCAATCAGTATTCTCCCAGAAAATTGATATTCCTCAAGTTTACGATTAATTTTCAACCTTCTGATAGTTTTTTAACTTTCAGTTTGTAAGGAACAATTCTGAAAATCACAAAAAGAGAACCATTTGGTGTCATAATGAGGACTTGTAGAGATTTCTGGCCAAAATGCCTCGGCTGAAATATTTTAGATAGCGTTATTACTGAAGAATGATTTTGGAAGTACATGCTGTCAAAAGCCCGATAGTTTGCATTTTTTCATTGTTTGATTCTTGAAAAAAAAACGGCTCTAGGGAATTCTTATTTTTGTTGTTATTCAAATATTCACCATTTCTCGCCGATTTAAATGGACCAAGCTTGCTTGTTACGTCTTAACGCTTTCAGGAGCATGCGAAAATATATGGATTATTTTAATTTTTTGTCGAGAATATGAACAGGAACACAGTTGTTTGTCGCTTAGAAATCATAGATCCTACAAA